AGTCAGAATATCATAAGGTCCATGTGATTACATTTATCTTGAATAGCCTCTTGAAGTCTCAGGTTAAAGCCTCATTACATTCAGCACTTTGCACACTCTCTCATAAATTACAGTCTCTAATCCACAGGGTTTACAGTTTTATAAACATGCATCTTGGCATTGTAATTGATTGTTATTACACAGCTACCACCTCTATCTGAAATGATAAAATATTCTAGAAACATTTAAAACCCAAAGATGACAACAACATCAAAATATTATTAGAGCTCATATTTGTGGCAGAGGTCTTACTCACATGTAATGCCTGTTCATGGCCTCAGTTTTGTCTTTTTTCTTCTATAACTTTTTAGCATGTGTAAATTTGGAATTTACAAGTCTCTCTCCCAGCACAAAAAGACAGCATACAGCCAGCTGTTCAAGTGTTTTCTTATGGAAGAGAACTGGCTTGTCCACAAGAAAGATTCCTTTCAGCCATAAAGATTTCTCTTCTCCCATACTAACTTGAATGGCTGTACATTTCTCTCAGGTACTAAGGACACCCAGCACCCCTTACTCCCCAGTCCTCTTTTCTCCCACCCTCCAAGGCAGAGGTAGAGCATTCGCCCCAATAGGCCAACCAGGGCCAAGCTGTCAGGGAGCCTCGTCATGGGTACCAATACCCCCACCCATGGACAGACCCAGAACACATGTACACTCCTACTCCTGACCTATTTTTCCAATGCTGGAAATGGACAGGCATTCATAGGCAGAGTATGGCAGTGGCCTTTCTTATGGTAGGAACTGGGCAATCAGACCATCTCATTGAAGCTGCTGGCCTTAGCATGAATTGATGGTGACTGCCATGGAATAACTGAATGCCCCTTTGTTTAGGGATAGACAAATGCAGTGCACAACCACAGTCTATGAACTAGACCACAAGCTAACATGCACAGTGGCTGGGCCATCTGGTCCAAACGGTTTCCCAGGGGCTTATAAATGCAAAGATGGGGATGGACTTGATTGCTGCCATGTGTCTAAGCTAAAAAGGCAGCAGAAACATCATAGAAATGGAGATATGTGGCAGTAAGGAAGCCATGCCCAGAAAGGCATCTGTACTATAATGCTGAGAAGACCTGAGAGAGTGCACTTATGGGTAGAGGACTGGCCAGAGTGAAGCTTGGGACTGCAAGCAAATAAGCTGTTCCTATTGATTCCTACTGTGCTCAAGGAATTATGCCTTTATGTATATTCCTTGTAAATAATGTAAGTCTAAATATATAAGAACAGAAAAACAACTTGAAGACCTGGAATTTGGCTCAGCTTAAGAGGGGCAACATTTTATTTGGGGTAGATCCTATAAAGCCCTTTGAGAATTCAGCTGACAGACCAACTCAGTCTTTGCAGCAAAACTAACTGTTATAAACTGGTGCCCCTATGACAGATAATGTAATCCAATGTTTGAAAGGATTAGTCTGCTTCTTTTTAAAGTGGAAAGCCCCATATGGATATAGCATAAGCAACCACTATAATACAAATCACCTGGCATTTTGGGATCCTTTTTTCCTTGCTGAAATCAGGTCTAATGATTCCACCTTGTACTGTACCCAAAGTTACTGCACATAGCTATCTAGAATGCTTTGCTTAGAGCCAAGAAACATCAGTATGGGCTCTATATACAATTTATATACATTACATTTATACTTCTGTCACCCCCTCCCCAAAACATCAGTTATGATCAGAACTCTTTTGTAATGGATCCTTTTTTACTCAAAATTATAAACTCTTTGGATTAAAAAGACCATGTCTATGTGCAAGTGATCATGTAAGTCTCCTCCATCACAGGAGAGATGTTTATCAAATATACTTTTTAATTAAAAAAAAATAAAAAAATTCATTGATGTTGTTTTATACCCCCTAATTATTCAGCACCCACCAAATGCCTCCTTCCAGCATAACCACCATACCCTATATGAATGTGTGCACGCAAAAGGCAGACAAAGAAATTGCTGTATAAAGAATATAAAACATTGTTATAATACTTTTCTTTGTTACATTTTTGATAGTACTTACACAGTTTTCTTTGTTCTAAAGGAAGCCTGGAATATTTATGAAGACAGACAGACAGACAGACCCTAGTTAGCTTTACTGGCACAAGGACAAGCAGCTGCAAAAAGAACCAAACTAATTTAAACACGACTCTCTAGAGGTTTGCCATGACATGGCAAGAGCATGCTCAAAAATATCAACTCGAAACCAAGAGATTGACCATCTACTACATTTTTCAAGATGATGTTTCAAAACATGCAGAAGTTAAAAAAAAAAAATCCACATTGTCATGCACCAGGATCATACTATGATTAAATGTGTTGATATTTCTTATGGCATTGTTTGCCTGCAGTACAAGAAGAGATAAAATACTGTACATTTGCTGAGACATAATATAGACATTCATCACCTGTGTGTCAGATTTGAAGCCAGGAACCCATCTTTAGTATTAAGGCCCAAAATGTCCCTTAAATTTAAAATCCAAGGTTTTCCCAGTTGAAAACAGTTTCCTGTTTTCTATCAAAACACACCTGAAGAGGTGATCATAATACATTCAAATACTCCTGGAAGCTTGTAACATAAATGTTTTGCCTATTTTAGCAACACAGTAAACGTATAACTGTATAAAGAAGTATATTTAAATTCTCAATACCCACAACATTTCCATTATGAATACACTGAGGGGAAAAACAGGTTTATAAGGCTGAGCAGTTCTTCAAACAATTCCACCTGAATTGATTCTAAAAATGACTGCATTTGGGTGACAGCTAAAGTAATGTTCACATCACCCTAATCTTTACTCTCTAATTAATGCTTGCAGTGCATCCCCAGAGGGTTATTCAACTGCTAAGTACTACACACTGGTACATAATTTACCCCTCTCCCTAACCTTTGGTTTTCCAGTTTTCAGCAGTGACAGTACATACAATGAAATGCACAGCAATGCAGCAAGGGAGAGGAGATTGGGATGGTTTAAGAGAAACATCAGCAGAGGAAAATTCCACTGCTTTGCAAGCAGTCATTTGGATCTTGGGAGCAGTTAATACTCATCAGGGAGGAAACGGTTCATTTTTCCTGTGCGCAGAAATTTTCATCTGTGCCTACTAAGAAAAAGCTTACCCAAAGCAATTTTGAGTAGGTGTTTCACACTAGCTTGGAAGACCCGGCCTACCTAATGAAAGTGAAGAAGTGCTACTGGCAGTAAGATACTAACCAATCAAAGGTAGACAAGTCATTTTTAAATGGATGACTGCTTCTGATCAGAACTGTTTGTGTTCTCTGTGTAACAAAGTATGTAAGAATCCAATTACACATACAAATCAAAGGAAACAAGTAGAGGTTTATATACAACAACACAGGTTTACCTGTAACCCTTTTGCATCAGTCATTAATTACAACAGCTATGAAGCTGCATGTCAAATTACCGGTGATGCTGAATGCAAGTGTGAACATCTACTGTGCAAATGTGCAGGTTAGTATTGCTCTACATCCAAGTATGGTTTTGTTTTGCTTTGGTAGGTAAAAGGACAAGGCCTGTTTTACTCGCTTCTTATTCAACCCAGCAGACTCAGATGCCCTGTGCAAACTTTTCCTGGTATCTGATATCACTGCAATCAATTGGTAGCCCACAAGCACAGGCTGCCAAAGATAACAAAACAGCAGTTCCTTGGCAGATAGCTATCCTAACCGAGAGCATGAAAGTTTAAACACGCTTCTTTTCATCCTGTGCAAGGCTCGGTACAGGATCTGTATCTGGGTTACGCGTATTGCAAAGCCGTGAGCGTGATGACCTGCTAATACGCTCTCTTAGCAAGCCTGCCTTCCAAAAGCAGAGAAATGGATTAAAAAGCAAGCTGAGCTCCCTTTTGCCCTGCATACTCTAATGCAACCATCAATATGGGACAGATAGCAGCTGTAACCAAACATAATTATAAGGGGTAGGAAAAAACCCCACAAAAACAACAACAAAAACCCCAACCCACAGCTCATCCTGGACAATGTATACTACATGTAAAGTGTCAGGCTAACAATTTTCCTTCCTTTATGGCCCACAATAGCAGCTCCCCAACTAAAGCCTGTCACAAAAGGCAAGTTACGTAATGAGGGGTGTGTGGGGGGGGTGTTGACCTGCCCACTATATAATACAGGTCCTTCCACTTTATATAAGGTGGCTCACTTTTCTTCTTCTCCTTCCCCACACATGCACCTATAGATTACTTGGCAGCTTGGGGAGAGGCCACACAGACTCCTAGAAACAGAGGGTGAGAAGGGACCTCAGGAAGTCACCCAGTCCCACCCCCTGCTCAAAACAGCACCCTCCCCATGTAGATCATCCCAGCCAAGGTGCGTCTTAAAAACCTCCAAGGATGGAGATGCCACAGCCTCTCTGGATAGCCTCCTCCCACCCGGCTGCAGCTCCCAAACACAAAATGCCCACTTACCTTCCTCCAGATAAAGCCAGGCACTGGAGCGACACAGCACCCTGCATATGGCGTGGCTGGAAGGCTGGCTCCTCTAGGTGCCCCCCACCCTTTTTTTCCACCCATACGTGAGAGACTCAGCCTTGACACTGGGGCACTGTCCAGGGTTCAAATGCCCCTTTGACCCTGGGGCAAAAAAAGTGGGCTGCCCGTCACAGTGCCCTAATAAAACCGGAGACCCCCCAGGTTATGATTTTCAAGTCTTATGGTGGGGGGGGGGGGTCATCTCTTATAGGGGGAGCTCCCACCCTGGCACTGGCACGCCACTCCCCTTGGCCATGAAGGCAGAGGAGCCCAGGCAGCCCTGGAGAGCAACGGGGAAGCGCTATGGGCGGGGGCAGCTGCACCCTCGGCAGGACAGCCCCTGTTTGGGGGGCTGCTGAGGATCACAGAAGGGCAGGGCTGGGAGGGAGGCCCGGGCAGGGCAGGGCAGGGCGGGGCCGGAGCTGCCCGGGGGCAGAGCGGGAGCGTCGCCCGGGGCGGGCAGGGGCTCACCGTAGATCATAGCCAGGCCGGTCTCGTGAAGGAAGCGGACGCGGCGGTGCTTGAAAAGCCAGATGGTGAGGATGGTGAGCGTGAGCAGCAGGATGAAGGTCAGCAGGCTCACGCTGTCCTGCCGGTGGCGAAGCAGCCACTAGGCCCCACCCGCTGCCGCAGCCCCCGTGCGCCCAGCCCGCAGCTCTAGTGCGCAGGAGCCCGCGCCCAGACACACACAGGCGCGCAGCCCGGGCCGGCCCCCTGCTCCGTGCCAGCCTCTTAAAGGAGCAGGCCTCCCACCAGCCTGCGTAGCCCGGCTGCGGCCAGCCCCTGGGCTACGCCGCCTCCCGCCCCCCAGCCCGGGCAGCAGCGGCGCGGGCGACCAACCCTGCCCCTGCCCGCTGCACCCGCACTCCCCGAGGCACGCGAGCGGGGAGCCTGGGTTTCTCCGCTTTCAAAACAGCTCCAATTTTCGGATTCAAAACAGAGTAACCCCAAATCCACATTTTTCGCTCACTGAAATGAAACAGCACTGACATATAGATATCTAGATAGTGATTTTTTTTTTTTTAAAAAAGAGGAACCCAACATCCACTTTTTTTCTGTGGTGAAAATTCTACGTTAGTGGCGTTTCATTTTAAATCACAAAAACAAATATTTAACAATTGAACATGTAACCCCAACATCCACATTTTTCTGTGATGAAAATGAAGCACCACATGTGTGTGTGTTTATATACACACACACACACACACACACACACACACACACACACACAGTGTTTCATTACACATGTATATTATATATACACACGCATCTACAAAAATACACATATATATATTAGTGATGTTTCATTTGCATCACAGAAAAGTGTGGATTTTGGGTTACTTTTTAAAATTTTCAAATAATTTTTCTGTGATACAAATGAAACACCACAAATATATATATCACACCCCCCTACAAAATAAATAAATAAATAAAAATGTATGTATTTATACACACACACACACACACACACATTAGTGGCATTTCATTTTCATCACAAAAATGATTTAAACATTTTAAAAAGTAACCCAAAATTCACATTTTTCCATGAATGAAACCACGATAGCTAGCTAGCTAGAGATTAGGGGCATTTCATTTTAATCATGGACAAATGTGGATTTTGGGTTACTTTTTTTAATCCGAAAATTTGGGGATTTTTTTTTTTTTTTTAAATCAGAGAAAACCAGGATCCCGGGTCATGAGGCAAAGGTTTCTGAGGGAGGATCTATCTGTCACTGACTAGTTGGGATCAAGTCAGACCACCTTTCCAGTGTAAGGGCCTGGTTGCACCTTCCCCTGCGAGTCACAAGGGGGTTGATCCCTGTTAGAGTTAGCTTGGAGCAGTCTCACCCTTAGTCTAGTTTTCAACCTTTTTTGTCATTTGCGGACCCCTACAATAATTTTGAATGGAGGCACAGACCCCTTTAGATTGTAAGTGTGAATAGTTCTACACTTCTGATTCATAATAGTCATCTTTCATGGACCCCTTAGCAGAGGTGCCGAGTATGTGGGGACACCTCCGAGGGCCCTGGCCCCCTTCCCTCCACTGTCACTTGAAAGGCATAAAACTGTCCAGACAAGGTTCTTTGGGTAGATATGGTATCTTTTATTAGACCAACTAAATAGCTGGAAAAACTGTTCTTTGCAAGCTTTCAGGCACAAGCACACCTCTTTAGGCGTATAGAGAGTGCTTAGAAGGTTGTTTGGGCCCGAAAGTTTGCAAATAACTTTTCCAAGTATACAGTTGGTCTAATAAAAGATATCACATCTGTCCAAAGAAACTTATCTGTCTATGTCCTTAGACCAACATGGCTACAACCCACAACCTTAAAACTTTCCACACATCCATCATCTTAACATCCCCCCCACCCCCTGCAAAAATAAGTCAGCCCCTATACCCCTTAGACATAAGACCCCCAGGGGCCACAGGTTGAAAACCACTGGTCCACAAACGTTCTCTGACTGTCCCCCACCTTCTGTGTTGTGCCAATAGAGGCCTGGTGAGCAGGGGCAGGACTAGGAGCTGTAGCTGCGTGTTGCCACTGGAGGGCTGGTGAGGCAGGACAGGCTTCTATATCCCTGCTCTACCAATGGGGTTGTGAGAGATCCTGGTACTGGAGAATTTCAGTGTGGGAGCACATCTGTGGGAAGCAGTCACACCTTAATGAGACAGGAGCTGGATAGTGCGGTCAGAGATAATCCTACCCTAGAGTGGCATAACTTTGAGCCGCATAACAGGTGCTTAAAACCACTTTAAGGTATGAATGTGCAGACAGTCCAGGGGTTAAGAGCTCCAGGAGCTTCCCAAAATTACCCTGTAACAAGGCCCCAAGACTTTCTTCCTCAGGTCTTTCCCCAGCACTACTTGGCTGTCAAGCCTGGGAAGCTTTTCTCACCAGCTGCGGGAGGGGAGATCCAAGACCCTGGTGCCCTTCCAGGTACATCCTTCAGCCTAGAGATGCTGCGCATCCAAGTGTCTAAAACGACTGGTAAGTGAGCTTTTCCCTTTGGGGAATTTTAGTGGCCATTTCAAAAAGTATGAATGGCATTTGGTCCCTGGATAAATGGCCTCCATTTGGCAAATTACGTTGTTTCCTAAGAATTGTAGACATACAGGGTAAAAATATAACTGCTGGGAACTGTCAAGGGACGCAATCAGCAAGTTCTTTTTCAGGCAAAAAAACTACTGAATTGGGATTGGGCTGTAGCAGTTATTCACAGCATTGCTTGGACAGTTGAAGTTGCAAAGAGACTGTTTTCTTTCATATTATTCCAGTGCGCTACGAAAAGCAGTTCAGGATCCTACAAGGACTTTTAAAATCCCATTTGGGTGTTGTGATTTCATACCTGTCCTCTCTGTGCTTACAGGGCCAGATTAAGGAGGGCCACTGTAATGACAGACTGCCAGTAACCTTCTCTCCAGTTTGCAAACTCGCTGCAGTAGCTAGTCATAATTACCGGCTCTCTGTCCTGCTAACATCTAAGGATTGTTCCTTTGAGTCCCCAGAGTTAAAAACCATCTCAAACAGTAGAGGAAGGAAGTGGAGTAATAGTCCTGCCTCTGTTCACACTACAATGCAGAGTAGCAAGAGACAATGCGGTACACCTGCTCTCCCTGCAAAGTAGGAAACATAGGAAATTCGTCTATAAAAAAAAGATGACATTCCCCAGCATCTGCAACTAAGGACTGTGCCTATCAAGTATACATGACCTCCGGTCTGCTCTTTATTCCCATCCAATCCCAAAAAAATCTTCCTGGATATGCAAGCGTAAAGGGAGCAAAGCACACACGGCACCAAGATTTACTTTACTTTTCTATTCCATCTTTCAGATTAATGCCAGTGAGAGTCCTAAAAAGGCAAACTATGCCAACTTCTTCACTTGGAATAACTGAGCTATGTAATTTTGCTTCTGAAATTAGAAGGAAAGTAATCAGGGTATAAATATGAGCACCAGTCACTTATTCTGTTAAGCAGAGAGATGTTGTTTCTTTACTCTTAAGAGATTTAGAGGTAGAAATCGTATTGGAAGGGAAAAAACCCAACAACAATACAGTTCCTAGATTGTTCAGGTGCCTTTCAACATTCCCACCATATGTTTTTTTTCCAGATGTATTGCACAACTATTGCCAAGTTCTGGACATGGCAAGAAAAACACATTAAATAAATGGTGTTAACATTTAAATCCATTAATGAGCACTTTCTATTAAGTTGCCATAAATTCTTCCTTGAGGGAAAAAACCCAAACACATTATTTCTAAATATTTGTTTGTCTAAGTAAGAAAAACTTGATATTTCAATTTCATGGGATTCAACAACAGCTAGTCAAAATGTTTAATTTTAAATCTTCTTTATTGGAGAAAAATGGTTCTTTTAGCAAATATATGTTTTTCTAGGAAAAGTTATTTTAATTCTTCAACTTTTACAAGGATTTTTTTTGTGGGGGTGGGGAGAATGGACGGGGGAAGAAGGTGAGAGGTTCTATTTTGTCATTACATATTGGGGTTTGTCTTCCTGTTTCAGTTTTTGGGCTGCAACATATCAGAAAGTTTGGATTTTTCTCTAAGGTTTTAAAGAAAATGAAACAAGGCAAATTGTAAACCATATTTACCATTTACATACACTCAGGAGCAGTCTCTGCACCCTTTTAATATGCTGAGTTCACATTGTGGTGGGAATTACTAACAGTCTACCTCAGATTTGCTTCTCTCAATTTGGACACAGCCTTGTTATCTGGGATTATGATTACCAGTAGATTTATGCTATGATTTTGTGTTAAAGAAACTGAAAGCCTTTGGTCACATGTTTAATTACTTTTCTTGGCAAATCCTGGCCACTTCCATGCTGATGTGTAGCCTTTTGTGTAGGTGTTAACTCAGCTCTTTTAATGTGACAAGGTCCATCTCCTCCACTATTTATTACTTCATTCTTATTCTGCTGGCTTTCCCCACCCCGCCCCCCCACCCTAACATATGCTCTGCCTAGGTAGTTTGAAAACATAATTGGAATTGCAAAAGCTTCTCAAATTTGAAGTAAACAGGATTTTTTTTTTCTGTACCCTACTGGTACTATGAAGTTCCCAATACAATAACAAATGCATTTAGATGAGTAAAACAAAACTGCCTCCTCCTCTCAATCCTTTTTCTCTCTCTCTTCTCCAAAGCTTTGGCAGTCACACACAAGCTTCAGTGCATGCTGTATCTTATTTCAAAACATAACCTCACCCAGAACTTAACTAATCATTTACAAAGACATTTCAAGAGATTAACTCTTTAAGCAATCATTTTAAAGACACCTAAAATAGTAATCTAGAGTTCTTCTAAACATGAGTCATTCATGCAAACTCCTGAGCAACCTTGAGATTTCACTCTAATTATGTGCAATTACCTGTAAATATTTGATCATGCGCCAGTAAGGCTGATCAGACTGATATCTCCTTTCTTAAGTAAAGAATCTTGAGCACTGAACTAATCTCTTGCATCTTTCAAATATTCCCAAAGATTTACATGAACAATTATTAGCTTCTCCAACCTGTCTGGTATTATGTCATATTTTCATTCATATTTTCAGTATAGTGTAAGCATGATCTTTTTAAAGGTTTAAATTCAACATCTCTTGAGCCTCACACTGCAGTCTGGATTTGCATCTACTGTTGATGGCACAATCCAGAACTGGGTGCCTATCACACTAGTAGATATATAATAAAGCCAAGGGCTGTGTGTTAAAAACAGAGCTCCCTTCTAAGACAAGCTTCCTCTTTGTTGGGAGAACAGTTTACAAAGAAGTGGCATCTTCCACTAAGAATGAAGCCATGAAAGCAGCCTGGCCTTCCTGTACCTCCTCCAAACTCTTTCTGTCTGCAATCTGTTCTCCTCCCTCTAACTTGCAGGAAGGTTGCCCTGCTTTCAGTCTCTTGCCACACAGATGAAAGTTAATGATAAGCATTAGGTCATAGGTCCCAGTCTGGCAAGTTCTTATCTGAGTTGTATTTATTCACATAAGGTGCATCTACACAAGATACTTGGAACACAGTAGACTAATTCTACTGTGCATTAGCACGATGGACAAAACCCATGCTAATGGACTAATGTGCAGTAGATTTAATCTACTACACATTAACATCACAAAAAGACCATTCATTTGTGCTAATGCGCAGTAGTGCCAATTACAACACATTGTTAGTACCCATCATTACAAGTACTAAACTTAACACAACATAAGTAAGGCATATTAATGAATGTGTAGACGTGCCCACCAGGTAACATTCATAGTGTTGCCAACTCCCATTATTTTTGGTGGTGTTCTTAAAGTCTATGCTTTGGGAATGTGAAAAACTTAGCTATTTATTTTATCTATATTTATATATGCAGTAAAAGCCCTGTTATCTGGCACGAGTGGGGAATGGGGGGTGCTGGGTATCTAAAAATTACAGTTACCTGAGGCCGGCGGTTTTCTGCTGGACGCAGAGCAGAGGCAGCGCAGGGTGGTAGCGGCCACTGCCATGTACAAGCTTCCCCTGCCTTTCTCCCCATCCAGCCGGCCAGCCAGAAATTCCAGTTAATAGAGTATTCTGGGTAGTAGAATGCCAGATGACAGGGTTTTTACTGTATAGATAAAAGAAAGAGCCAAGTTTTTTACATTCCCAAAGTGTAGACTTTAAGAACAATGCCAAAAATCATGAGAGCTGGCAATACTGAATTCATGCCCAAAGGTGTGTGTCAGCACTGACTCATGCATTGCATTAGTTTCACTAAAACTTTCATCTTCAGAAAAGTGGGGCCTAAATGATACATTGACTTTGCGCTAGTCCTTTGAAGGCAATACATTAGGAATGATTTGTCCAAAGTACTTCATTACCCAACAACTCGATTTACTTTAGCATATGTACACAGAATCTGACATAATTCACTCTTACCCTGCTCTGCAAGTGGGTCAACACATGACTACATGCTATTTTGAATTGCCAATGAGAACGGTAGTTTCTGTCCTTTGAGGAAGTCAGTCAGTGTCATGAGTGATGCAGTTAAGTCATCCTCACCCATCTCTGGGTTTTGTAAATTTCTGTACACTATCAAGGGATTTGCTGTACACTCGTGACACCATGCATTTGATTACTTACGGGCCTGAGTGTCATCACCCTCACTCTGGAGTAGCACCACAGTCTACAAGTAGTCCTGTGGATTGACAGAATTGCTTGGGTAACAATGTACTGCTCAACATCACACAAGGTATCAGACTAGATCAGTGATTCTCAAACAGGGTGCCATGGCACTCTGGCGTGTCTTGAGATCCTTTCAGGGTCATCACACAGAGTTAGCAGTTAGATGTACAAACAAGATTCATAGGATAAACTCAGAAGTTTCAAATATGAATCCTTAGTGTTGAAAAGTGTCTTACCTGTTGCAAAGAACCCAGAAAGACTGCAACAGAATAATTGCTCTGTTATTTTTCCTGTAGTAGAAAGAACAAAACAAAACCCCCAAGTGAAAATGAAGAGCTGGCATTGTCTAAGAGATGCCTGAAGTCTAAAACCACTGGAATAGTTCTTGCAAGGTATTGTGTTATAAAATTGTGTCCACACAGCACAGTTCCTTACTGAAGTGGAACTGAAAAATTGCAGTTGTGGTTTTTTTGGCGAGGGGTTGAAACCCCTGTTGGAATCCACGCTATTTTCACTTCACAGTAAGTTGCTTGGTAAAAACATTTATAGAATCACATCCGTGCTCCATACCATTTTGGCAGTCTTTCAGCTGCCTTTCCATATTGTTTCTCAGCCTGCCCCAACCAAACAGACTGGTTACTTTCATGTCCTCTACTGGAGTCACAATGGCCAAGTGTCACTTCCCTGTACAAGTGCTCGTTGTGGACCTGGAATTTTGTTCTGTTCCTATGCAAATCTTGTAATCATTCTTTCTACTGGATCTGTGCTGAGGTCCTGGATTTCCTCTTCCTCTACAAGTGAAGGTGCAGGAAACTATGGGATCCAGAGAGAGACACAGATGTGTTTGAAGGAAAATGTCAAGGCAATAACCAAGTCAGGCTACATTAAGCTCCACATTAAGACCGAAAGGTATGGAAAGGCAAAGGCTAAAACCTGGACTTCCAACAGTGCTTCAGCCACCTGTCCTTATTATAAGGGCCTAAACAGGATTTTGGCATATATCAGTAATCCACTCTTTTTCTTGGATATAGCTAATGGACAAGAGAATGCAGAGGACTGTCTAACAATTTTTTGCATGTTGTTAGATGCACTTGCAGCCAGGAGCTCTTGAATATGCAGAAGCCTAACCAAAAACCCACAGAAACAGAGCTGGACACACTGGCCGTATTTCCTGTTGTCAGGCAGCCTTCTCTTACTGAGAACTAGCAGTTCTAACAGTGCTGCAGAGGAGGACGCTGAACATGGTTATATTTGCCTTAATTATAGTTAATTTGGCAGTACATGTTGTGATATACACCTGGTGTTTTTATTCTTAGAGCTGGATGTTTCCATCTTGGGTGTATGTGCGCTACTGTTTCCAAATTCTACTTTCCCTTCCTTTTAAGTTACAGCCTCCTTCCATGTGCTCACAGTGGCAATTGCATTCAGCTAAAAATGTAACAGCAAGCCTATTAGCCTCACAAGGCTGACCTATCAACCACATCATGTCCTTTATTTTTTTCTGGTTCTCTCACTCTCATTTCCTTCCATTTAAACCACAACCACCTCTCACTGCATGCTCAAAGTTGTGACCCCTCTATAGTCAGATTATTTGCTAGCTACTCCTATAGCAACATGAGGCCTCCACTCCATGCCACATGTTCACATGCCAGTTTCATTACAGATTCTCTCATGCTGATGTGTTGAATTCTGACATACATTATTAAGACATACTCTGCTTTTATTAGATTCTCAAGAACAAGTTGTTTTAAGCAATCAAGCAAGCAATTCCATTCTTCAGTGCAAGTTTGGTATAAAACTAACCTTTGCAAAACATTTGTTAGCAGAATTTCTAAAAGTTCTTTCTTACTACAGTATATTGTTATAGTATACTATGCTATCACAGTTTCTTTTTATTCAGTATAATCAAAGCCACAGGGTGGCGGGAAAAAGAGAATCCTCCCATACAACAGAAGCACATTTTGTTTTCCTCCCAGGTAGACACTTAACAATGGAGTGCACTGGGTATCTCTGCCCAGCAAAGTTTGCATCAACCATGGAGCATTGCCCAGAGATTTCAAGATGTGGTAGTATCCACTTCAGCATGAGGTACTACCACCAGTGTGGGACTCCCAGGCAGGGCTCTTTACCACATGGTAACAGGCTTGACCAGAATTAGGACATTCTGCCCCCTGCATGCTAAGTGGATCAGTTCCCAAAAGTCTTGAGATGGAAAGATGTAAATAGGGACCCATACCTCAAACTGAAGCAAAGTCCTTTTGGTGTCCCCCTCTTCCCCGCTGCTTCAGTCAGGGCCTATCTCTGCCTACCTAGTCCTGTTGTTCCTTCAATGTCTCCCTGTCACCTCTTCAGCATGAGGTACTACCACCAGTGTGGGACTCCCAGGCAGGGCTCTTTAGATGCAGCCTTCTGCCTCTCCCCTTTACAGCTACCCTGCACCTCACATTGCCTGGAGAAAGACCAGGACCGCACCCCCACCCCCCACCCAGCAGGTAAATCTGTGGGGAGGGAAGGAGGGTGCGGATTGAGGTAGAGAGAGAAAAAATGATTTGAGGGCATGCCTCCCCAGCAGGTAAGTTTCAATCAACCAGGGCCCCACTCAGCTTACCCCTGCTCCTGCCTCTGCGGCACTGTCCCTTACCATGGGGTCCTTAATGTAGCCCTTGCCCCTTCCCTCCCCCATGGACTGACCTGCTGGGCTGGAATGCATGCGTGCATGTGAGCACTCAGCCCCCAACCCCAGCCTTGGGTCGACTCCAAGAGTCTCCAAGATCTACCGGTGGATCGAGATCCACTGGTTGGTGACTACTGCTCTATTATATTCCTGGCAAAGTGAGGTCTCCCAGCCTGAGTAATCCTTCTCAAAGGGCCTTTCCCCTTCTTTTTCACAATGGGGGGAAAATGGGACCCTATTATAGAAGGTACGATGGCGTCTGTGGTGGTAGAAATTACAATGTAGAGCTGCTCTCTTAGACTACAGTGATTGGTAATTGGGAGATGGCCCCTTAGTTAACTAGCTAGTTAGTCCAAGAAACTAAGAACTCCAGAGACTTGTTCTACAGTAAAGTTTGTTCAGTTCTTCTCATTCATGTATGCTTGTGCTTATTGAAGCCAGTGATAACTATATGGTCTCAAGAAAGGCAAACGAGAAAGGAATTTGAGTTCCAAACTGAAACAGATGTTGGAAACTGAGAGCAAGTGAAGCAATACGGCCATGTGGAGAGACAAGGGCCCCCAAGTGATC